GGCCCTGTTAACCTCCCTGATTGCCAGCTGATTGCGTTGACGCTTCTTAGGTGCAAAAATTCTTTGATTTAGAAAAGTTGTGCACTACAATAATTCGTAGTAACATGGATCAATTAGAAATTATGTCCGAGTGCGTTATTAAAATAGAAAATGTAAGTATTTTTATTATCATTTCTATTTTATATAGGAGTTAAACTATTTTTATTTTAAGATTTCGGATTTGAATTTTGTTATTTTAGAAATAAAAATCGTATTGAAATTATTTTCATTTTGTTTCAAGAGTTTGTATGTATAAAGATCATTGTGTTGATTGTAGGAATGAACAATTTCGAGGTTAAGGAAGAATTTTTATCATAATTTATTGTATGTTGATTATTGGTTTGAATTGAATTGGTCTGTGTTTCTTCTCATACCAAAACACAAACTAATGGACCACAATTCGTTTTGTAGGACTTAATTTTAACAAAACTTAAAAGAATAAAATCAAAACACACAAATAAAAATCTCATTGCTTTAAACCAGAGAAACATGTATCAGTAACCACTTTTCCAAAGCATCCAATCAAACACTGTGTAGCGCAGAGCAGCTCAACAAGGGTTCAAGCCTTTAAATACTTGCACCAAACTCACTCATTTTGGAATTTCAAAAGACCCCCCACTCAAGTCAAGAATGGTTAAATGAACACAAAGCTCACCTCTTCATCCCTTCTCCACTTCACTCATCAGGCAAAGTCCCCTCTCCCCCTCACACAATCATACAATATCTTTACATGAAGTATCGGCTCAACCGAAATTAAATAATTTAGAAAATATGTTTACTTTGAAGCCCCAATTGATCCAATTTTCTAATATTAGAGATGTATCAATTACTTAATAATTTATGACAAGTTTAAGAGTTAAGTAACATTTTTTTGTGGGGTACATTAGAAAAGGTGTAATCACGACTGGTCAACAGGTGCAATCCTAAGTTCGGGTGAAAATAAAATCCAGTTTTTATCCACCTAATAAAGCCCCCCATGACAATTTTTTATTTTTCCCTTCAAAAGAATAACAAAAAAAATACATTCTTATACAATTAATTAGCCAAGGTTAAGTAGTGAAAAATCGACATAAACCAAAAACGAATTTCTCTCTACCTTTATATTTCCAATCACAATATCTGAGCAAACCCATATCAAGTCGTGTCTCAACTTTACGACTACCACTAAAATCTTTAAAACCACTAGATTTCACCCCCCACCTATTATAACTACTCAAAAAGAATTCGTCTTATATTAGTAACACATCTAAAAATCCAAAGATTATGCAAATTAAATCAGAACTACCAATAGAACTTATACCAATGCATCCAAATTACATTGCAATATTCAAGAAAGGTTAATAAAATAACTCTCTAATCATACATTCTACATACACACTAATATTAAAACAAATTCTAATAACCTACCTTGCTTAGTACTCAACACAAATGTAATCAACAATCCTACAGCCTTCCCCCTTTAAATGGCACCATGACGACCTACCTCTATTATATCTCTCTCCTGC